CAGTTGACCGGCATTGTAAGCGATTCGCAAGGAACGCATAAAAGAGAGAGAGGCCGCATTTGTTTTAGTAGTAGTAGTAGTAGTAGTAGTTGTTATAGTAGTAGTATAGGTAGGAGTACCACTATAGTAGCAGTATAGTAATACTACAGTACTATAGTACTAGAATGGTACAGTAGTATGGTAGTATTGTCCAAGTTGCGTTATCAGAGAATCAGTACCGCCTAATTCAACAAAGTATTTTCGGATGTGCTTGATGTCATTCAAGGTGGTCACACTGGGACCGTGTTGGTTGTCTTCACGGGAGCGGCGAACTCCACTCTCCATGCCATCAACACTTCCTTTCCTTTCCTTTGCAGGCGAAATCTCTCCCTGGACGCTCCCGCTCAGCGATCTGCCTTAAGACCTGTTAGTGTTTTGCGTCGGGAAGTCCGGAAAGTACCCGTTCCAAGCTGTTCCTGCCGTGAGCTTCGTCAAGGCTACCCAGGAGCAGGCTGCTCGTGCGCGCGAGGCCACCACGGTCGCGCGCTTCATCTGCGATCTGCGCTACAGTAAGGACATGGCCAAGCGCACTGGGCATTGCATGCGCGACTGGGTGATGCAGCAAGCGTTCTCGTTTGCTACCAAGGTGTTTGACTCTTTACGGAACAGGTCCACGGCTCAGGGTTGCTCTCTGGTGCGATTCCTGTTGCGAGCAGATTTTCGGACCTGAAATCGCTCTGAGCGACACTCGTAGTTGCACCGTGGTCCATGTGAGCGCCGATTCGACTACGGAAGTCCTCCCTGAATCGTGGATCCCAAATCCTCTGAACTACGCTCCAGCGAGGGTTGATCACCCTTTCAAAGAGAGAGGTTTTACGACTCGCAAAGTAGGGCCGCGGAACCACGTGTTTTGTCAGCGCATGCTGCTGCGTACACACTGTTTCAACCCCTTCACCTTGTGCCTTAAACCTGACACGCGAGTGTCTAAGGCTTTGGGGCTTCTACAGTTTCTCTGAGTCTCTGAAGGGGTTGAGATTTTACTTATCCTACAATTCTCATCCTGGAAACAGCGTGGCATTAAGATCGCTGTTTATTCTTTGGCGAAGGTTTGTTTTGTACGCCGAAAAGGAACTTCGAAGAGCCGAAGAAGCCCAACCCCGCACTAGAATTCCGTTGTCAATGGCAACTGCAGCCGCTGTGATACGAGCCGGCAAGGGCCGCAAATATGATTGCACCACATAATCTTAAATGCTTACACGCTGAAGCTTTAACGTTGTCAAGCTTTGTGCTGTAATAAGCAAAATGCTTTTTCAGAAGGCAACGGCATCCCTGCAGAGCTTCGTAATCGATGCAGAGGATTCCTTACGCCACGCTACGCAAAAGTGCAAAGGTTTTGCACTAGGTTTTTGTCAAACTTGACACGTTGGGTAAGAAACTTGCTTCCGTGCAAAGGGATTTGAGAACTTTCTAAACCTGCAAAATTGACACGTTTCAACACGCTTCCTAGAAGCCGCACGGACTTCCCCTGGCCCCATCGTCAGTGTTGCAAAGCCCCCTGTGCAACGACCTCTTTAGATCTCCAAAACCTTTTCCGTCATGCTTGCTGTCCAGAACCTTCTCCGTGACGCTTGCTGACTTGCTGCTTGACACAACATTGACGATGGGGCCAGGGGAAATCAAATGCAGTCTGCAATCACTTCTCTTCGCGCTTGCTGCTGCTCCCCTCCCGGAAAGCTCTACACGATTTCCGGTTTAAAAAACGTTTTGAGTTCTTTTTTTGTTTCAATTTTTTCTTTTGATTCATTATTTTTCTTTTGCTTCGAGGAAACGTTTCCGGTCTCCTGGGCCTTGGAGCGGCATTTGAAAGGCTATTTGAGGCAAACGGTCCAGAGAGTCTGCTTGCCCAGCAAGCGAGACATTGCTATTCCCGAACTGCCCCTAGACCCTAAACCCTAAACCCAGAGATGAGGTTGTGGTGATGGAAGGGCATGATGGACCTAGCAGTGCTGCAGCTCCTGCCTTACCACCAGGGGAAGACGAGAACGACTTTACGGACCACAGTTTGGAAAATGCTACCGGTGATGAAAATGAGGTGAATGCTGGCGTCAGTGGTCGGAGTGCGTCGTGATAGTCATGATTGCTGTGTACGTCGTGGGCTTCGGTTACATGTGCGTCGACGTCCTCATCTACATGTGTGCTCGGGGTGTATTTCTTTGTCTCACAGTGTGTGCTACTTACGGCAGGCAGTCGAAAAGACACATCCAACACACATTAAAAAAAAACCCAAACCCTAAAGGGCAGCTCTTGGTCGAATCCTTTGGATCCGTCATCGCTTGGCATTCGATGTTCTCTGGGCTCATGACGAAATATCCCAGCTGTCAGCGAGGTGCATCAAAGGTAGGTATGTGAAAAAGAGAGCACTAAACGCCTAAAAGGAAAAATAGCTAAAGGAGAGCACTAAAAGTCATACCGTAGGGATAAGAAGGAAAACGCAGTGTGCTTGGAAGAGATGAGCCCATCCAAAGCGAAGGTCTCGAAGACTGGACGGTGGCTCCTAACGAGGCTTTGTTTTCGCCAGGGCTCCTTTGCCAGAGGATGCTCTTTGTTGCCTTCAACTTCGTGCCCTACAAGCGAGACAGTATGGTGACGCCCGCTGAACGGAGCAATCCCCTGAATGCCAGGACGTGGACTCTTCCTCGTGGATCTTCTTGGCTTGGGCCGGGGTTGGGGACTCTGTGCTTGAGCCCAGAGCAGCTGCTGTCCATTCGGAGGGGCATGCGGAGCTCTCGGCGGAACTGTTGATTCATGCCCGGCTGTTCCTCCATGGGCTCAATGAAGTTCCTGAGGAGGAGCTCAGTGACGTGCAGCACATGGTGGCGTGAGTCTGGAGGAATACCAATCTGATTTCTGTCATGGTGGTAGTAGTCATGATCACAAGATCACACCAATTTCGCAATATTGATACCTCAGCTTTGACAGCGCAATCCCCGAGACTGCCCCCAGCAGCTTCAGACTTTGTTCATTCGGCATGAAGTCAACATGCCATGCTGTCTCCCTGACAAAGAGGCCTTTTAACACTCTTGTGCCGCAGTGCCTGTGTCACTTCACTGTTGCCTCCAGTCTCAAAGATGGAGACAAACTGGGATAAACAGCTACAATGTGGCAGAGCCTTGGGCGGGGATGGGCACATGTGGTATGTGTTGCTTTTGCCTTGAGAAGGCCCTAGTCCTCTGTTCAGTCTGCTCCGTAAGGTGATGTCGGAGGATTTTCCACAGAAAGAAGGAGCTCCCTCTTGCTTCCTGCGATCGCGAGCATTTGTCCTCGCCGTTTAAACCGGAAGAATCTCGCAGAATCAAACAGATGCGCAATCTCCCCTGCGCAATTTGAGGCTTCAAGCGACTCCTTAGGAACCTGCCTCCATTAGGGCCTTTCGCCCTTTAAGCAACTTTAATGGGGTCCCGAAGGCCTCAAAAGGCCCAAACTCCCAATGCAACCGACATATCGCAGAAAAGCCGCCCTGGAACCCCTGGCAATTACATCTCCATGCATAGAAGTTGTTCATCCCTCCTTGACCCGAAAGCTGCAGAAAGCGCTTGAAGCACTTTCTCTTTGTGGGGTTTGTGGGTTCCTGGTGTCTAGGGCCCTGTGTTTTTCCTGGATTTTCGGCTCGGAGTTAGGGCATCATCTTGCCAAGACGTGCATGATATTTTTTCACTGGAGCCTGATCTTTGCGACGTCGGTGGTATGTGGCACAAGATTTCGGTTTGTGTACAGGCCTGATCAACCCCACAGGTAGCTGTGACGGGGCCACATGGCGGATATGGATGCTGCCGTCCCCTTGGAGCGCGTCGACCTTCAGGCAGGAAGTTTTCATTTCCGGGTCCCTTCGGCCAGGGTCGCAGTTTGTGACCGAGGTGGCAGACACCATTGCCAAGCCCCCGGTGATCGTGGACTCCACTGGAGCGCCAGAAGCCCAACGTGCCCACAGACACTCAACTGTCTAGTGAGCCTGCTGACCTGGGGCAAACCCTCAAAGAAAGCTCAACTGTAGTTGTGAACTCTTGAGATTTGGGGCTTTCTTGTATCGTCGGTTCTTGTGTCTGCGCCATGCCTAAGTTTGGACACGCACGCCCAAGCATGTGCTTGGGTGTGTCTTAGATGGGTTTAGGGTTTAGGTTTCATGGACTTCCATACGAACTTGCAACGCTCGGCTATAGCTGGAAGGTGTAGTGCAGCGAAGAAGTGTCGAGTGCTCAGGCGAACACCTCAACACCAAACGCAGGTATGACTGGGTGTTTCGGCAGATTGTTGGGCTTTGGAAAGTTGAGGCGACAGACTTGGAAAGACTGCACTGTGAACCCTAAACCCTTGGGCCTTTAACAGAATGGACGGTCTCGCAAGCTCGTGGAACTTGTGGCCGGCTTCAACTTGACGCGTCCGGAGATGCTTCGAGGGACACCGGTCCCTGGGGCTTCTATTGGGTCGTGATGGTTCGTTAAGGGGGCACGAGTTCCCTGCAACAGTTTTAGAAATGTTTCCATGATGCGAAGGGCAACAAGAACCTGAGGCGAGAGACCCTTGAGCTGAATAGCGTGGGCTCCCTGAAAGGGGTGAGGTCCAGCTTCGACGGAAGGGTTCCGAGCATTCACCTGGAACTCCGCAGTTAACCCTTATTAAGGGGACCACTCCGAACTTAGGTTTGAGGATCTCGGTAGAGAGCAAAGCTGCTTCTTCTCTGGGTTCCGCCATGGTAAAGCTTATGCATCTGAGACATTACGCTCTATTGCAGTTATTCAACCCTAAGCCTGGACCGCTTTCAGGGGATAGCCTTTTGTTCCGATCGCCCAGGCGCGAGTTGTCTTGCGTGGCATCGGCCGGCCTTTGCGTGAAGGGGCCTACTTGAAGGACTGGTACCCACACAGCAGGCAGATCACGCAGGTGCAGCAGTTTTGGTCACATTCCTGGCATCTTGGTACAACGCATAAGTCTTCCCGGTTAATTACTGCATCTGGAAGAGCCCCGCAAAATCCTGGAAGATCTCGCAAATCCTGGAAGAGCCTCCCAATCCCAGAAGAGCCTTAATCCTGGAAGTAGTTCATATGAGAATGATTCCACTGTTGGGTTTAGGAAATAGGGTGCTTCCAGGGTTCAGTTTCGAGGCGGCTTCGACCCACGGTGACCCACGCCGGTCCGCAACGCCCTCCCCCCTCCTTCTCGGGATATCTCGGGATCTGATTCCTGTTCGCTCACCCGTCGTGATCCGAACCACATCTGATTGATAGCGCCACTGATGTGATGGACACAAAGTTCGTCGGCAGCTGGAATTGCCGCCGTCGGCATCTTCCCACCCAAATTCTAAGGCACGGCTATGTGTGGCCCAAGATCGCCTTGCTCTACACGTCATGCAATGGTGTAGCTGCTGTTGTGTGCGGCAGCCTGGTGGTCCCGGTGGTGTCCTTCCTGCTGGTTCCTCCGTCTGCACACAGGGAGGCTCCCACGTCCCCCTTGACGAAACCCTAAACCCTACACTCGAACGTGGCCGCCCTAAGCTTCCCTTCCACCGTTTTGAAGACAAGAGGTTGTTGGGATGGGAATCTTCCAGAGCCCATGGCCACGCATCGTTGGTACGCTGACCTCCGTTTTCGTCCTGCTGGCGTGGCGGCCATCGAAGACCCGTGGAAACCAAAGAGTTGTAGAAAAGCATTATCCAAAGGCACTTTGGGCCTGAGGGCGCTGAAAAGCACCGAATTCGGTTTACCCTACCCTAAACCCTAAACCNNAACCCTAAACGGTAAACCCTCAACCCTAAACCCTTCCTTACATCTGAGGACTGTGTTCGTTGACAAGATTTGCGTCGACCAGCAGGATCCGAAGCTCATGAGCGAAGGGGTGGTGAACATCGGGGGCATTGCGACCAGCCTCGTAGAGCTTTTTCGACTTTCTTTCAGTTACATCCTCGAATCTGAAGGGAGAAAGAGGAGAAGCTTAAAACCTTAAGGCCGAAACCCTAAACCCTTCAATCCTAAACGCCTTCGGGCTGCCTATAGGCCCGACCCTCTTGGAAAGGTGAAGAACTCCAAGTCCATGCTCGTTTGCTGGGACAGCACGTATCTCAGCCGCTTCTTGGTTGCAAAAAGCCCGGTTCCTGCCGGTTTAGGGGAGGTTTGCGCGTCGAGCGAAACACTCGGATTTCCCTTTTTGTGCTCCCCTTGTAGCCTTGGCAACCTGGCTCGAAAGGCCCCTCGAGGCCCTGTAGAACCCCAACTTATTCCGAGCTGTCTGGAACTCTTGGACAAAGCCCCGAACCAGTGCCCTCTCCAGTGGCGATGTGGCGATATCGTTGAGAGCCTCACAGGCTAGCTTAGGACATCTCCCTACCCTAAACCCTAAACCGTAAAGCCTGCAGTATGACCCAAGACCTCGGTCGAAGCTCGTGTAGGCATGTGGCTTCCACGTCTCCGTCTCCAGAACCTTTGCAGGGGGTCTTCAGCCTGTCATTGGGGGCTTCCAGTACCCTAAACCCTAAACCCTTTTTGTTTTTTTGTTGGACTTCCCCCGAAAAAACCTCAAACTTCAACCCCCCTGAACGTATGATGCACGATTCTCCTCTGCCCAGGCTTGTGGTGTGTTCTGGAAGTTGCCGCCTTCTTGAAAACCCACGACGCAGCGGAGAAGAACCTATACATTCGGCCAACATCTTGGGGTTCTGTCACCTGCATGCTGTTCCTTTGCTCAGGAGAAGGGGCTTCGGGCACTTTTCAGGTTTTTGCAGAGTTCAGTATAGCTTGGAGACAGACTCCAACACTGGGAAGAAAGCAGGGTCGCTAATAGCAAGCCTTTTTTAGATGGTTTAGCCAACCTATTTCACAATGCAACCTCGCCAATGTGCTCTCCCCCATAGACTTCAACCCTGTCCCCCACAGACACCAGGAGTTGTAAATTCTACACTCCAAGGCCCAGGCCCGAAATGGCAAAAGGCCCCTAGATCAGATGGCAAGCCCCATAGACCCTCGAAGGAGATAAGTGGCACGGGGAACTCTTAAAGATGCTGGGGCCTTGCGCCCCCCAAGGGAGATGCTGAGGAGTCGGGAAGCATGGGAGTCGGGAATGCCAGCGCCCTCCTGAGACCTTGCCTCCTTGTCCGTGTAATGCAAAGCAGGATGCAACTCTACATGATTTCTTGCACACAGAAAACCCGAAACCCTAAACCCTAAACCCTGCAAACCCTAACCCCTAAACCCAAACCCCTAAACCCCATCTAAACCCTAAACCCAGCATGGAGCGAGCAAGTCTTCGGTGTCAGCTTGAACGGGAAAGATATTGGAAGCGGGGGGTTTCTAGACGTCGGGTAAATGACGGGCTCCCTTTTTCACTTTTCGACTGTTTCCTTGACTTTCCCAACCTTGGTGGCTGGCACTTGCCAGGAACCGCCCTAAACCCTGCGCAGTAAAGCCCCTGCGGCCCAATGCCTGCAGCCTGAGCCCTGAGCAAGTGACCACTTTGACTTGGCCAGGTTCTTGGCAATTTGGACAAGTGATTCTAAAACATGGCCTCCAATTGCCTTCTTTTGAGTCCTCCAGTTGCTGCAGTTGCTGCGCTTCTCCAGGTTCCTCATCTTCTCCGTCCTGCGCACTGGGGAGGACCTCGTGACGCATCTCGTCTCATTGAGGCTTTGAGCACTCTGAAAGCATTCTTAAGACCTTGTGAAATCGAAATCCTAAGCCCTAAACCCTAAATTACTATCAACCCACCCTAAGCCCTAAACCCACATGACCCACAAAGCTGCTCCAAAGGAATCTTTTGATTCCGACGCAGTCGTGGGCCCACATGGACCAAGGGGAGTTCTTCGCGAACACACTGCTCTTCCAGTTTGGCAGTGTGCGATTGTGGTGAAATGGAGGGCTGGGGTTTAGGGTTTAGGGTTTAGGATGCAGGGTGGCAGTGAAATATCAGGGCTGTTGGAGTTTGATTTTGGAGTTTTTGGTCCTGAGGGCATGGCGTTTCGGGGATACGCGGGTTTCAGTGAGCCGACGACGCAGAATGGACGCTGAACGCCACCAAATGGGACTGATGGGATTGACAGCCCCCTTGTTAGATCGGAACCTCGGATTGTCATGTTGAAGGAGCTTGGATTTTCAGGATCAAGATTCAGGTTCCTCTTGCGAATTGTGCTTTCGCACTATTCGCTGTGTGAGACGTGCACCTTGAAGAAACAGAAAAGAAGGGCTTTGATCGCCTGAGCCACGTGTTTTGCTGGGAGCGAATCTCCAAGTCAAAACGTACCAAGTCTTCCTTTGGACATCTGAACTAATGGAACCCGGAAAGCAGAAAGCCCTGGAAAGCAGAAAGCCCTGGAAAGCTCTGACCGGAGCTTGGAGTACCCCGCAGGCGATCGTGAAAGTGCCCCTGACAATGTTGCTCGCGCACGTCTGGCGTGGCCACCTGCGCGCGTTGGAGTCGGCGTTCTCACAGTTGTCGGACTTCTCTTTCGAGCGGGACATCCGTTGCCACTGCTGCTCCCTTAACCACATCCACCCAACTACCGGCCGCAGGATGGTTTGTGACCATGACACCATTAGCGAATGCCTATGCACATAGTTTGGCTCTGTTGCAGACTTCGAGGAGGTCATGCGGTGCCGGGTGTCGGAGGTCTTCCAGAAACACTTGAAGAGACATGCCTTACCGTACCATTGGATCCTGGGAAGTACGTGTGTAAACTGCTGGGGTCTTCTGGCCACGATCCCTCCAACTATATACTTTGGAGATGGATTGTCAGCGGCGGTTACGATGTTGCTGACCCTTGGTTTCTGGTTGGCAGTACAGCCTGTCCTTCTGCTCGTGCAGCGGCTCGGTCCCGAAACCGAAATGACGCTAACCACGCCAAGACCCCCCAAAAAGAAGCCGCCCAGAAAGCTGATCCGAAAGCCGCTCAAAAAAAAGCTGAGAAGCTGAAAACGCTCAAAAAGGCCTTTGAGCTGTAAAGACCGGGGTCTAAACAGAGAAAAATGGAGCCGAGGCTGAAGTTCGCGTACTTGCTGCGAAGATCCCATGGCCGGTGTGAGGAGTTCCTGAAGAATCTGGCTCCTGGGCTTCTTTCGAATTCGAGTGGGTCATGTCTAAACTCCAAACTTGGCTTTGCTAAGCTTGGGGGGTCAGCTGAGGGGTTTGGGCTTCTTTGGCCTAGGAGGCTAAGGGTGTTGTCTATCGCTTCATGGTTTTGGTTTCGTGTTTTCAGGACCGTAGTGTTGTTTGAGACTGTTGAGCTTGTTCATGTTGAGACAGTTGACTGTATTTTGCTAGCAACAGGGGGATGTCGGTCTTTCACTTGTGCGACAGCCAACGAAGACCGCAAGTGCATGGACGTGTGTAAACCTGCAAGAGATTGGCATGGGCATTTGAACAATTGGCCTCAGAGTGACTCTTACTGGTTGTCTGACATGAGTGCTTTGCGCTTACAAGATCATATCATCATATGAGAATAAGCGCAGCTCATTTGTTTGAGTTTATCGTTGTGATTTGCACGTTTTTGTGGCTAAACATTCGTGGAAGCTTGCTGTTTAATGTTGGGTCCTCATTGGACCTCTTCGACAACCGAGGCTGTAGCACTGATCGCAGTCACCTTGGACATCGCAATTGCTATGGGAGAAACAGCTTTGCTTTTCTTGATCGGGGAGTTGTGGCTTTCCTCTCTGGTTTTCGTGTTGATCTTCGCCATCATTGCAGTTGTCATGTTCTGTTGCTGCTGAGGCCTTATGCCTAGTCCTACCAGTCTCAGCTCCGCTGTGAAACAGCTGAGAGCTTCGCGTTGCACCAGCTGCCATGACCAAGTCATGAACAGTAGATGGTAGCCCATGGTAGCTTTGCTGCTTGCAGCGATGGCAAGAATCCATGGTTCCAGGGTTTCTTCGCCTGATGTGCAGCTTGGTTGAGAAGTGGCGGACAGGTTTCAAACTTCTGCAGCTTGAAGTTGAACAAGATACCCTCTGCGAAATCCAACCGTGCAAGAAGATTGCCCAACAAACGTATGCCAGGCGGCTACTTTTTCAGTTCTAAGGGTGCCGTCGCACATGTTTCGTTTGAAGTGGACAGGTGTGCACAACAGTTTACTAGGCGCAGAGCCGTGATTCTCGCATTTGGTCCTTTGGGCCCTCTCGGAAGTAGGTTTCTCGTGAGGGCCTTTTAAAGCGGTATGATTCCAAGCCGCTTGATCTGAGCACAACCTTACCCACATATTTGGCCTCGAGCGCCTGCAGTTCTCAGTGTGTTAGGGTGTTGAACTAGGGCCTGTGACATCTCCTGGCGCCTGCCCACTTTGTCCCAGCGCAGGGTGTCACCAGCTCGCCCTGCAAACGCTGTCTGTCTGTCTGTCTGTCTATCTGTCTGTCTGTCTGTCTGTCTGTCCACGTTTGTCTGCGTGTGTCTGTCTGTGTTTGTGTCTGTCTATATCTGTCTGTATCTGTTTGTGTACGTCTGTTTGTATTGTCTGATATTTGGTAGAGACTATTAATAGAATCGAATATTTTTTAATATATATTAATGATGTTCGATTTTTTAAAATTATTAGATTTCTTATATAAATCTTACGTTCATATTAAATATTGATATTTTTTCTTTATTATATAAATAATTTCGAATAATAATTATTTAGATCGAATCTTAAAGGTACAACTTTAAATTCATTAAATGAATTGAATCTAAATGAATCGTTATCTATTTTTTTTAGTTCCTTATTTTATATTAATTTTTTAATATAATTTATCGATTTTATAAGATCTAAGAAAATTCTTTTGAATATTTTTCTAAATTTTTTATTCGATAATTTGTTTGTAATATTTGCTTAAAATACGCCGATTATATCGAGGTTGATATTATTATAAGATATATAAAAAATTAAGAAAGATATTAAAAATTTCATCTTTATATTTAACAAAAAAATCGAAAGAATATTCTAAATCATTTTAATCTGAATTTTTCGAATTTCTGGGAAAGAATTTTTCGGTTTGATTTAATTAATCGGTAAGATGATATCTATTTTTAATATCTCGAATAATAGGTCTCTAATTATTCTGAAAATATTATTATTCATAATATAAATAAATTCATTTGATCTACTTATTAAAATTCTGTGATTCTTTTTAAGAAGAAATTAAATTTGATTATGATTTAGATTATAATAAATGTATTTTATTTTAAGAATTTTTATATATTGAGATTGATTAATTGTGTTATCATAATCTTTCTAATTATACGCGTCCAAATCTTATTTTATAATGAAATATTTATACTAGCATATTTATCGAAGATATATGATTATTTCGGCAATATAGAAGAAATAATGAATTTTCAATATTCTGATTGGAGGCAAATTTCTAAATATAAAAAATCGATTCGATTAGATTTATTATAAATCACTTATATACAAAAATGGATCGTTTTCGAGAGAATATAGCAAGCAGATTCATATCTTAAATCGAATCTCTAGATTATATACCATAATATGGCGAGAAATTTTCTATCTAATGAAAAATATGACAAGCTTTCGACATAATCTTATTGGCAAAGATATAATTTAATTATTCATTAGAAAATATCTTTTATGTCAAAAAAATCTAGCGATCTAGTATCAAGATCCGATATTTTTATTTATTCGCAGATACGACGATATTTATAATATAGATGATTTTTAATATATAAAGAAAATTTCGTTCAAAAATCAAATAATTTCTAATATCATAATACCCATGAGAGAGATCTCTAAATTCTATAGATAATATTATCAAGATTATAATTAAAGATTCTTCTCTAAAGAGACGTGAGAAATAGAATTTATTTTGTCTAATCGATTCGAAATCGATTTATCGAGAAATTATCATAATCTAACCAATCAAAATTATCATTATTCTCTTTTTCATCTTATCAATTAATCCTTCGTATCTTATCATCAGAATAATATATCAATTTTCTTTCAAATAAATGCCACGACAATATATTCTTCCTATCTCCTTTCTTTCGATCATATATAAAAGAATATAAATTTGATGACCTCATACCTACGAAATCATAATCGCTTTCTATATTTCCCCACCCAATCACGAGCATCAATAAATATATCGAAATTCCAGAAGATAATCGAAAAATCCAATATTGGGCGGATCTAGCATATTTTCTATCCAAATATCTCAATTTTTCAATTAAATGAAATTATCATCTTCACGTTCATATATAGCTCAAAATCAATAATATTAAGAGATTATAGCTCATCTCTAAATCCGAAATTAACAGATATATTCTACCATATATTTTGCATTCTTTTTTCGATAAAAAATCTCTTTCAATACAATATATTAAATCATATATTTCTATTTCAAGTTCTCCATAAAAAATTTTTAAAAAGATTCTTAATTCCGATATTTCATTAATTCATAATCTTTATCAATTTTCTTTTTTTAATATCGATATCTAAATAAATCTCATCATTTCTATATAAAATATTTTCGATTCAATTTAATTCTCTTATTTTCTTCTCTTCCATTAAATCTTTTCTATTATCGAATTCATTTAACGATTGCAATTTAATTATATTATAGAAATATATATATATATTTTCGAATATTAGATATATTTCTTTTTATATTCTTGCGAGATAAGATTTTATCATCAAAAGATCTAATTTTAATTATTTTTTATTCTAAATTATATATATATTATTCACTGCTCACAAATTCCAAGAAAACTAGAAAAATCCCAATTCCTTAAATTTTTCGATATCTTTACCTTTTATCGACAAAAAAAACCGGAGCCGAAGAAAATAGAATAAAACAATAAAGAAAAAGAGAAAATTCAAAATAATTCAGAATCTCTTATGGAAAAGAAATAGTAATTTATAAATATTTAGTATAAAAATTTATCATAATCTTTAAAAAATCTTCGCATATAAAAACCTCAAATATTAAATAAATAAATCTAATCGTAATACAAAAATATATTTTCGCTCATCCATAGATCAATTTAATAATACCTCAATCCAAATTATATCTCTCCCTTATTCTTAATTATCATAGAATCGAATATGAAATAGATGAAATATAGATGAATTTTAAGAAGATTTTTTTCAAAATATATTTCCATAAATAAATCCAACAATAAATATAACAAACATATATTTTTAAGAACATCAGAATCATAAATCATTCAAATTTAATATTCCCCATATTAACAGATCTTAATAATGACTTAAATAAACTAAATATACGAAATAACCTAATCCGAATAATTTTTGAACAATCTATAAATCCGTACCTTTTATTTTTACATTCTATATTTTGCAATATTATATTAAAAAAAATAAATCTAAATCTATATTTAAAATTCTTGTTTTTTTCTCGAAATTTTAGATCCTATCCCTTTCGTGAATTTATCAAAATATCATTTTCGTATTTTATTCCCTCCTAAATTTCCTTCTAGTTCTTCGAATTCGTATTTATATAATTATGAAAATCAATCCAATCGAATATAAATTTCATCCATATATATTACTATTTTTTCTAAAATTTAAAACATATTAAAAATTTCGGTTCTATCAATCTTCTTATTTTGCC